AAACTTGTTATTCCGAATCCTCATTATAATGAATCAAAATCATCAAACCAAAAGGTTCGTTATATCGAGTTCTGACTGTAATTATTATTATTCATTAGACCCTCTTAGATTGCATAAGCTAAAAGACCATTAAGATATAATGTTTCTTCTATAGTAAATCTTTTTTTATAAATAAAAAATATAAATTTACACATATATTTTTTTCTAAAATCCCATTTATAATGCTGAGAAAGTATTCTTCTATTATATGCTACTTTATCAAAAAATATGTACTGTGTTGGAGAATATTATGATATGTAGATTATAAATTTTAATTTATCATTTTTATTATATTCTACTGCTAGTTTAATTAACTAAAAATAAATAATAAATAAATAAAGTTGACTATAAAAATTGAATTACACGTAAAAAATTTTATCTATTTATGTATATAATCAAAATGATTTATTATTTTCCAAATAATGATATAATTAATGTAACAGTCTAATTACAATTCCATTTGAATTGTAATTTCTATATACACTAATCTACCTTTTTTTTAGAAAACTTTCTAAATATTTCATATCATTAGCTTTAAATTTTTTTTGATTGTTTCACTTGTAACTATAAATTTTTACATATCCATATTTTTTGAAGTATAAAAAAACTTTAGAAATTGAAGATTTACAAATGTTAAGTTATTTTGCTATTTTTCTATAAAATACACTTTTTAAAATCTTTTCAACTATCAATCAATAGAAATGTTTATTTAATTTTAATTTGAGCATAATGTGAAAAATATTGAAAAAAAAATAGTATATTATGATAAGTATCATATATTTGTTATTTTATTGAAAACCTGATAACTTGACAACCTGATAACCTAATAAGTTCTAGACTAATTTTTTGTCAAATATCTACTATATTTTGAATTTTGCTATAAGTTTTTTTTGTTCTTGAAAAGATTATTTTTTGGCATTTTAGTGGTATATAAAAAAGAGAAAATCTGAAAATAATTGTAAAATGATAAAGATTGAATTAAAATTATATTTAAAAAGTGAAAAAATTAAGTTTATTTATATAAATATTTCTATATATACTAGAAATAAACACAAATAGTACATTAAATTAATATTAATAAAATCATTCTTTTAATTTAGCAAGTTCTCCAAATATTCAATATTATTTTAGCAAAGAAATGTTAAATTATAAGAAAAATTTTGGTTTAATCTGAAAGTTTAGTTCATTAGAATGATAAAAAATCATTCTAAACAAATGATAATAGAATCATTTAATTAGAATGATAAAATATTATTAATATTATTCTAAAAGAATAATAATAGAATTATTTGACTGGAATAATTAAATTATCATTCCAAATGAATGATAAGAAAATTATTTGATTGAAATAATAAAATATTGTCTCAAACAAATGATAATAGAATCATTTGACTGAAATGATTAAATTATTTCTTCAAATAAATGATAAGAAAATTGTTATAATATATTGATCTAAATGAATAATAAAACAAAAATTATGTAATTAAAATGATAAAATATTGTTTAAAATAAATGATAATAGAATTGTTCAACTGAAATGATTAAATTATCATTTCAAATAAACAATAAGAAAATCGTTTAATTAAAATGATAATATATTGATCTAAACAAATAATAATAAAATCATTTGATTGAAATTATAAATACATTATTCCTAAGAAACGATAAAACATCGTTCTAAAAGAACAATAAATATATATTCTAAAGAAATGATAAAAAACATCATTCTAAAGGAACAATAAAAGAATTATTTTAAACAAGAAAATCATTCTAAAAGAATAATAAAAGAATCGTTCCTTCTGGCTTAATTGTTTCGAATTATGGATCCCGTAATCAGGAACAGTTCGATAAGATCTCTATTGAAAAATCATTCAATAAGTTTAACACAAAATTGGTCGATCTTTATTATTTATTTTGACTGCATTATCATAATTTTTATCAATAAAAAAGAGTTAAGAGATTCAATATTACTATGATTTCATTATATCAAAGAATTGGTTGTGATGTCAGAAAAAAATTACAATAAAAGATGAATTTTATGAAATTCTAAGTTCATTTAATTGTAACATTTCACATATGACCTCATAAAAATCTACGGTAAGAGGATCGGGTATCGATGTAGGTGTTTGAAAAGTTGGTGGCATTCCATGAAAGAGACATTTTCTTTTAAGGTTAATAAAATGTTGTTGAGGCTGAATAAGAATTTGATCTTTATCATCAATGGTTTCGGATACAAATTCCTTTAAATATAAGTATATTAATTTCGTTTTCTATAAATCCACTTTATATTAATTAAGTAATATAATATATCTTACCGAAACAGGTATTAATTCCCCACTCTGTGTTCTTTTATCTGTGCAAAAATGCCATACCTGTCAAAAAATAAAAATCGTAAAAATGATGGTAAAGAAACTAATCCAAAAAAATTATATCTTTAAATTATTACTTACTTTCAATTTTGAAATAATTTTATCAGATCGCATTAATTTTACTGCAATTGCATCATGAGCTCTACCTGGACAGAGCCAATAATTTTTTACAGCGTTTAATAAATGTGCTTCAGATTCCGAGGAGGCAACTTCTATTGCAAGGTTGGGCCACGGTTTAAGCTAAAACGTAATTACCGATATTAGAAATTTGATTAATTATGATAATAGAAAATATTTAAAGCTCCACATACAGAATTAGTGCCTTCACGTCC